AATTCTTTTTCTGTCGTAGGGTACAATATTTCACTTTTATTGAGAGGACGGCTAATGTAAGCTACTGGTTTTTCATTATTATTTAATAAAACTGCACCGATTCCTAAACCCGAAGCATCGGTTTGTAATATAAATTCGTTTTCGTCTGAGAAATCTGGATAATCTAGTACAGGTGGAGTTATGAATGAATTTCTCAAATAATCAAAGGATTGCTGACACTCATTGGACCATTACTTTCGACTTAATTTGTTTAATGGCAGCGCTATGCTTGCAAAATTTGGTACATATTTTCGGTAATAGTTGGCGAATGCAACAAACCTTTTTACTTCGTTTGGATTCTTTGGAATGGGATATTCCTGTAGTGTTTTAATTTTTGCTGAATCGGGTAAAATACCATTTGCGGATATAACGTGACCTAAGTATAATATTTCTTTCCTTAGAAAATTACATTTTGAAGGATTTAATTTTAAATTAACATTCCTAAGTCTATCTAACACTTTAAGTAAATTTTTATTATGATCTTGTAAATATACAAAACATCGCTCATAATTTAACCCCGACATTGCTACAGTCATTAATCTAGAAAATGAGCTGGGACTAATTTTCAAACCCATTGGTAATCTTTTCATTTGGCACTGACCTTCGTTTGTGGAAAAAGCAGTACAAGGCCTACTCTCTGGTTTTAACTCTACTTGATAATAACTTTGACTCAAATCTAATGTAGAAAAGTATAACGAACCTGAAAGTGATTCATATGATTTCGGTAATGTTCCCTAATGGAAATTTGTCGTCCTTAATTTGCTTGTTAAACAAGCGATAATCTATTACAAGTCTCCACTTCCTTTCACCATTGCTGTCTAATGTTTTAGGTACTAGCAAAACTGGCGATGAAAATTCACTTTTAGCCTTTTCTATTATATCATTGTCGAGCATTTTAGTTTACGAATTTGTTTATTCAACTCAGCTTTTTGCGAATATGGAACACGGTAAGGTTTTACGTATATTGGCGTCGAATTGTCTTTTAAATGTATTGATTGTTGATATAAATTGGTTACTGAAAGTTTGTCTTCCGGCAAATGAAAAATATCACTGTATTTTGCACAAATCTGTTCAATGGTCGTTTGCTCTTCCAAATTTAAACCGTTTAAATTTAAAAGACTGAATAATTGTTTAACTCTACTGGCAGTGATTTCACTTGGATGAATTTGACATGCATCTTTCGGTGTAATATTTTTTAGCCTTACTTCTGTTTCTCTTGTGTTTAAAATTTTTATGGGCAGTTTACCATTTTCTGGTCTCACTATTGTTGCTGCTAAATAAACACCCTCACAATAACTCTTGTGAATTTACTACAAAATCTCCTACAATCTCATTGTCGAATTTTAAATATTGAAAACTTTCGCATCGAGGAGGTATAATACACACGTTTTGGTCATTTTCACTATGTAACGAAATTGAAATCTCCTGATGATTATTTACTAAACTTAAATTAGTACTATTTTCAAAATTAATTTTTGCCAAATATTTTTCAAGAAATTTTGCCCCAAAATTCCGTCAGTTGAACATGGTAAGCGTTTAAATATATAGAATTTTTGTTCAAAATATACATTATCAACTTTCAATCTTAAATTAACAAAACCTTCAGCGGTCAAATTTCCTCCAATACCTTTAACAGTTAACTTTTCTTTGTGTATTTGTACGTTTGAATTTAAGCAATTTAATTTTATTGCACATAGGCTTGCACCCGTGTCAACTAAGAATTTACGCTTTTCGCCAAATAAGTGCATTGTTACCCAATTCAGTGAATTAAATGAGTATATTATTTCGTTATTGGTCTCGAAAAAACTGGTTGTTACCTCGAAAAAACTGACTGGTACTTTGAGTATTTTGTGAATTTGTATTAGGTGCTGTTGTCGCAATTTCTGTGTTTGTTTCTTCTGCAAAATAGGAATAATTCTTTCTACCTCGTCCTTGATGATAACTGAAACCTCGACCTCTGGTTACATGACCTACATTATTACCTCTTCCGCTTGAGTAATTTTTCTCAGCACTTTTATATTCTGTTCAAAGTTATTTCTATAGAACTGATGGTTATTTTTATTGTTTCTAAACTGTGAATTCGTAAAAGTCTTGTAATTGTTTGTATTCCTCGCATTATTGAAGGATTTATAAGGATAACGTTGGTTACCTCGACGTTGTGAATAAGACATTATTTGAAAGGTTTGGTTATTGTGAGATACACTCTCATCTTGCGCTCCCCTTATTGCGTCTTTTAAAGAGCTATAATCCCTAGAGGCTACGATGGTACTCAAATTTTGATTCGGTAAACCATTGGTGAACTGTTTTACCTATTGCAATTTTTTCATTTAATGGTTCAAGATTTCAAATACTGCGTCATTACCATTGGCTTGCGAAATTGTGAGATCAACAAAAAGTGTTTCTAATTCTTTAAACTTTTCAATTGGCCTGTCGCCTTGTTTAACGCGCAATAATTTTGTTTGCAATGCAGTGTCCGATTTTCGTGTCAAGGGATGCTTTTTAATGTCCTTTACGAGATCTTGCACACTATCATAATTTGTAGACATCCGTATCTTTGCGCTGGGCGACAATCGCGTTTTTACAACAAACTTTATTAAATGACGTTTGCCCTCATCATTAAGCATTGACTCGTACAATTCGATTGCGTCTATCAATTGTTTTGTAGTACATTCCTTATTGTCCATAACAGGCAACAAACTTACAGCCGTTTTTAAGTCAAAAGTGGCCATAGTTTTATTAGATATTGTTTTTACGTCCGGAGGTAAAAAATTTAAAATTTCGGTATATAACTTATGCGTATTACTTATAAAATTTTGTATAAATGAAATTTCCTCACTACTAAACTTAGAATTTTTTATTCTTACTTGAAATTCTGCAGCTAATTCTTTAACCTTACTATAAATTAAGCTTGCTTCCTCTACTTTTTTGATTAAATTATCTCCCTTACGTCTCTCTGGACCTATTTTTATTAAATACGTTCTGATTTGCTTTAGCTCATTAAAATATTGAATTACCTTGCTTGTGTCCATTTACTTATACTTACATAAAGTAGAAAAAACAAATCTGTACCTATTACTTAATTATAACTTATGTATTTAGCATTTACCAAATTTTCTTCCATTACGCAGTTTAATTTTTTCCTTTTCACTATTTCACTAACACAACACTCACTCGAAGTCGATGACGCTGTCGCTCGAGATGATGATGAAGCTTCCATCTTCCATGGTCAATTTCTCGTTCCTTGGCTAGTCACTGCTAACTACTTCGGCTTCCACGTAGATTTACATTTTTAAGGTAGATTTTTGCACGTAAATTTAAATTTTTAAGGTGGTTTTGTGCAGGATGGCAGGATCGCCATGTAATAATTTATGTTGGGTGTTATTTAAGTACTTTATTTACATATCATACTAAAGCTACATTTCGATGATACCAACAGGTTCGAGCTACTTACTCAAACTAAAAAAACTAACTAACTATATAAGCAATAATCCATGCCACCTTCCTGTATGCAACTATGCAATGTTATTCCATTGAACTCTGTGGGTTCACAGGACAGACAGGAAGTGTGACATAGAAAATAAGCATATTAATTTTGGGTTACCACCACACTAACTAAGATAACGACGCAAAGTGGACGACTTTCCATTCCACCTAATGCTCGCTTATTTATTCTTACACTACCAAATAATTGTTGCTTTTGCTCGTAGTTCAAATATAGTATTCATACTTTGCCGCAATAAACTTCGTTCCGAGTTTACCAGAGCGAAGGTTTTTTCGAATATATTGTATTTTAACCATTTTACTAAGTTAACAATTAACCAGATCGCGCAGACAGACAAACGCACAAAGCATTCCCAGAAGGCATTTGCAACAACACATAATAAAGGACACTGAATTTTGTGTATTCGTGTATTTATTTCAAATTCTTGAACCGCAACTGTGCCCCTGTTTCAAAGAGATCATAAGATAGGTGCGACAAACTCCTCTGAAACAACAAAGAGGGGACACACAAACTAAAATCACTTTTAGTTTCGACCCTCGTTTGAAACTCTGAACTCTGATGTACACAGTTGAAGTTTTCAAGTGGTGTTTGATAGGCTTTCCGTTAGAGATTGTGAGGATAAGTGTTTTGTCAATTTTTAACGAAATTGAGAAAAATGGCGTGCACAGTAATTAATGATGCTTACAGTTATCGAAAGCGCTCAATTTTATTGTGGTTCAAAAGCCCGACGTTTAAATGATTCAGACTTTTCCATTTCAGAAGGAATGAACCCATTAGTTCCACGTGGCAACAAGATCAATATTAACGCGACTTAGACAAATGAAGTTCAATCATAATTTACAAAACTTTTGTTGCATTTTTACCATAATCCTCGCCGCGTGGTGTATAATAATGCCTCGCAGTAAGCACACCGCTTCTTTTGAATCAAGGTACCAGGAATCTAGTAGAATTAAATTTCGTTGACAGCATTTAACTTAATTTCTTTCGAGTAATTGCCTGTGAGCGTGACTAATTATCGCCTACCGCTTCAATAATCATGTTGAATTATATAACATCATAAATAAAGCAAGTATAAAATCAATTTACTTCATTAAGGAAGTGCTAAGGCGGTAGCATATTCCGTTCCCTTATGGAGATTCTAAAATTAAAATGAGCAGCTTTACATAATATTTTATAGTCAACATTCAACGAAGTTTATGAAAAGTTCATTGTAATATTGAAAACGCGCTTGGTCTACGTTTTGGTTGGTAAAGCTTAAAAATTAAAATCGTAAGCATCCGTGTAGGGGCAGTTTTAAGTAAGCATCGTAATTGTGAAAACTACATTTTCATCCCTTTGCAAGATCAGATTAATTTCTCAACTACCTTGGAAGTCAATTTTTTTTAAATTCACTCTTACAAATCAGGCAATATATATGTACAAGATTTTACATTATCCTTCCTTATATATGGACCACCCAGCGTTTTTTGTGTATTAAACACCAAATTTCGTTGAAATGGGGGGTAATACAATACATTTAATAATTTTGTCTACGTTTTATTGCTAAGTTGTATTTCAATCGTTACCAAACGTAATTTAATGTAAAATTTTCGGATTTAGTGATACCGCAGTTGAAATATCTACTTGTCTGTGGTATTCGAACTCACTTTCCCATTTATTAACAGAAATAGTGAAGTCACTCCTCCAAAAATTACCGCCACATAATGCAGCATTTTAATTGGTCCATCGATTTTGGAACTGGGTGTCAAATTCCAAAATAATTATGCGCAAAAGTGATAACTCTCGTACTTATGTCATTAATAATGTAAACTGTCTTAAAGATGTACACTAATATTGATAACTTAACATTTAAATTCAATGGGTTTGTGAGTTTCGTTTATGTTTTGGTAAACGCGTTTTATCGCGTTGAATACAATGGACTGTCCACTCCGTGGTTTGTTGTAGAAGCAGAAGAGAAGTCACTAATTTCCTATCTCTTTAGAATTGCTTCCTGAATCACTGGGCTCTACATTATTATCACTATCATTACTTAATGTGTATAGAGACGACCAATTAGTGTTAGCGTCGCAGTCTGGTTCTACATTGTTATTACTCCACTTTACTTTATTATTAACGTTCTGATTACTAGCATTGTAATTAACATGCGTTTTGAGAATCGACTTTTTTATAAACTTTCTGTTACGAATGTAATAACGTCCAGTGTCTGATTGAATTCTGTATCTACGAAAACCCATCCTACTAATAATTGTTCCTGGCTGCCATAAAGAATTGGGTCTTAATTGAATCAATACTTTTGTTTTTGGTTCAATAATGTCCAATTCTTTGGCACCTTTGGCCTTATTATACTGTTTGACTTGCCGTTGTTGATTTTCTATGATAAATGAATTATATTCCCTGACATTAATCACATGAGGTTTTAATTTATTAATGTGAATAGGAAGTAAAGGATTACGCATTTTCCTTGACATTAATATCTCTGCGGGCGAGTAATCCCCAAATATTGGTGAATTTCTCAACTGCAGTAATGCGAGATATATATCTTTACCTTCGTCTATTGTTTTCTTTAATAACTTTTTTGCAATTTGTACATGCCTTTCTGCCATGCCGTTTGATTGACTGTGGTAAGGTGAAGTCAGAGTATGATTGAAGCACCAGTCAGTTGAAAACTGTTTAAAATGATCTGAGCTAAACTGTGGACCTCCGTCAGTAACGACTATTTTCGGAACACCATGTCTAGCAAAGATGCTTTTCAATATGTTTATTATTTTATTGCTAGTAGTATTAATTTTTAATTCTTCCAATTCAATAAATTTTGAATAGTAATCAACTACTAACAAATAATGAGCATTGTTTATTTCAAATAAGTCACAGCCTACTTTGTGCCATGGTAACTTAGGTATTTCATGTGAATGAAGAGTTTCAGAAGGTTGTGAAGGTGCATATTTCTGACATGTTTGACAATTATTTATAAAATTACGGAGATCAATTTTTAAGTTTGGCCAAAATACAGAGTCCCTTGCCATCCTAAAATTCTTATCAAATCCTAAATGACTATAATGAATTTTGCGTAAAATCTCTTGCCTTAGAGTCTTTGGGACTAAAACACTTGGTCCGTTATAAATTATACCTTCATTTATTACCAAGGTGTCCTTGTATCGACAATAAATATTCATTTTATCGTTTAGTACTTTAGAAGATTTTGATTTTGGCCACCCTTGCTTGATAACTTGGGAAAGCTCAATTAGTTCAGGATCTTTATTTGTCTCTATTTGTATTTTATTTAAATAATCATCTGAAATGTTTTCATTTACTATTACTGTGCACACTTGGTCACTTAACTGTTCATCTAAGGAAATGTCATTGTCGTTGTTTATGTATGCTCTGGAAAGTGCGTCAGCTATAATGAGATGTTTTCCTGCTTTGTAAACCAAGTTAAATTGATATTTTTGGAGTTGTAACATTATTCTTTGAAGTCGAGCCGGACATTTACTTAGTGGTTTATTTATTATTGCTATTAATGGTTTGTGGTCTGTTTCAATTGTTACCAATCTGCCAAAAGTATATTCGTGAAATTTTAATAATCCATATAATACAGCCAGGAGCTCTTTCTCAATTTGAGCATAATTTACTTGTGCATCTGATAATGCCTTTGAGCAGTAGCTTACGGGTTTATTATTTTGTAATAAAACACCACCTAATCCCGCTTGTGATGCATCTACTGAGATTGTTACTTCTTTTAATGGGTCAAAAATTTGTAGAGTGGGAGTGGTTGTTAATGAATTCTTCAATTTTTTAAAAGCTTGTCTGTGCTCAAAATTCCATTGATAAAATGTGTCTTTCCTTATGAGTTGTCTTAAAATAGAAGTTTCTGCTGAGAAGTTAGGAATAAATTTTCCTACATAATTTATGATTCCGAGGAATCTTTGTAAACTTTGTTTGTCTTTGGGTTCTGGAAATTCTGTTATGGCTTTTATGCGGTCGGGATCTATAGCTATTCCTTGTTCATTTATTATGTGCCCCATGAATTTAATTTGATTTGAACCAAAACTACATTTATGTTTGTTAAATTTTATATCATGTTGGAGAGCTAATTTGAAAACTTGCTCTAATGCTAAATTGTGCTCATCTAATGTTTTGCCCCACACGATAATATCATCAATGTACGTAGCAATATTATTACCTTGGAATATAGCTTGAAAACGTTCGTTAAAAACTTCGCTGGCATTTTTTAAACCAAAAGGAAGTCTGCGAAATTTGTAACGACCTACAGGAGTACCGAAAACTAATAAATTTGAACTTGTTTCGTCAAGAGGTATTTGATAGAATGCTTGATTGGCATCAAGCCTACTAAACCATTTGGCTCCTGTAAAACGATAAGTCAATTCCTCAAAAGTGGGTAGCTTACAGTATTCTCTTTTGATTACTTTATTTAAATGTAATGGGTCGAGACAAATTCGTAAATTATTATCTGATTTTTTTACTAACACAAGGGGGTGCAACCATTCGGTTGGCCCGTCTACTTTTTGTATGATTTTATTTTTTTCCAGGTTATCTAAAGTTAGTTTGAGTTTGTCAATGAGAGCTATCGGTACTTTCCTTATTGGGCAAATTACTGGTTGTGCATTTTGTTCAATTTGAATGTGATATTCAGGATATATACACCCTATGCCTGTAAATAAATCATTGTACTTTATTAAAATATTTTGTCTTAAATTTGTAATAATTTCATGATTTTTTAATTTGACTTCATTTACTTGATTCACTTTCTTAATTAAGTTTAGCATGGCACATGCTTTGAGACCTAGCAGAGGCTCAGTTATGTCATTTATTACATGAAAATCAATTAAATAGTTCTCTGCATTATTTGTTAGGCAACTTAATTGAATGGTGCCTAGAACAGGTAAGACATCACCACTATATGATTTCAATATTACACTAGAACACTCTGTGATCAATTGAGGAGACAATCCAATTTTCATGAAAATATGTATGGGTAATATATTCGCCATAGCACCTGTATCGATTTTAAATTTGATTTTTTTTTTTACAATTTCAAGAGAAGCAAACCAGGAATTGTTATCGTAGGTGTGATTCAATTCCTCTACAATATTTATACGTGACTTAGTTTTTTGTATTGAGCTAATAAACAGTGAATTATTGTCCATAATATGATTTTGATTGCTCTCTTCGCTTGTGGAAGCTACCATGTTTATTTGTTTGCGAGTTTTGCACATGCTCGCATAATGATTTTTTAATTTGCATTGCCCACATACCTTGTTGAAAGCAGGGCATTTATTTATTAAATGGGAAGTTCCACAGCGAGAGCAATTGTTGATAAGTTTTTCACCTGATGTACGCTCTCTTGAGGATGATCTTCTATTCGTTGACCCTGGTCTTGGCCACCTGTAGTTAGACGATGAAGTTCGGCTTAGATGTTGGTATCGATTTTTCCTTTGGGTTGGTCTGTTGATTGCGATCTGGTCCACTGAGGTCTGTTGATCTCGTTCCGTGATATTCGTGAAGCCTTCAATCTTCTTTGCGTGCCTCTTTGATTGTTCAATGATGGAACATAATTTCAGCGCCTTTTCCAAATCTATCGCTTCTTCTTGTAGTAATTTTTGGCGAATGTCCACGTTATTGGTACCACAAACTAGCATGCATACAATTAAATCGTCATGCAATGTATCTAGTTTACAGTTAGCAGCTTGTTTTTTGAGTTCCGTTACATATTGTTCAATTGATTGACCGTTTATTTGTTTCGTCATAAAGAATTGGTATCTATGACAGATTAGATTTTCCCTTGGCAAGAAGTGTTTGTTTAATTTTTCGATGACGACATTAATTTTGTTCTTGTCCTCGTTTTCTTGGAATTGAAGTGTGTCATAGATTTTTTGTAGTTCTGGGCCTGCAAAATGGAGTAATTGGGCAATTTGTACCTTTTCGGGTTTCTTATCCACCTCCGTTGCTGTTAGATAGATTCTGAACCGGTTCAACCATTGTTTCCAATTTTCAGCTGGATTATTATTTAGGATTAAATTTGGTAACGGGTTGTGAAATCCAGATGACATTTTGGTTAAGTTGCACGCCTCGTGTATATTGTTTGGTTATGTAAATTTTTCCAATTATTTCTTCATTTGATCGTTAAGTTCGTTGATAGTTCGCAGCGCCATGTGGTGTGCTTCTAGCTTCTGTAATTTAGTATGATTAATCGATCAATTAAATAAGTTTGCATTTATTTTATCATCGGCCTTTATTCAGCGACCATAGACCCATTGCGACCGCCTGGCCGTGTTGCCACGTCCTCCACAACTACAAAATCCAGTAAAGAGTTTTAGAAAGAATACCAAAAGTTGTTGGTGATGGATAAATAAGAATCAAGTTCCAAATCACCAGTGGCGTATCTAAGTTGGGGCAGACAGGGTACATGCCCTGGGCGCTAACGCAGAGGGGCGCCAAACTCGAGAGGGCGGAAAAGACAAGAGAGCCTGCGGTTGAGTGTTGGCACTCTTGTAAAAAATTCCGAAAAATTCAAAACAACTCAAAATTACGGCTGATGGTTCGAAATAATCGTATTCTCTGATAACCAACCTGATGCAAAGTTTATGCAAATTTTATAAAAAAACTTTGCTAAAATTTGCCTAAAACTGCGTAAATCTAAGACTGTTTTGTAATATAAACTTTGCATAAACTTGAACTGTTAAATAAACTATTAGTAAAATAAAAATTAGACAAATTAGAAAATTGTTGCGACCAAGAAGGCCGATTACAAGTACATTGAATTATTTTTGTTTATTTTCATTAGTCGATTTTTACAAGGAATTGTAAGCAGATCTCAATTTATGTTAAATATACAATTATTCGATCCTTCAAAGCTTGTTTTTTACATGGTTTTTATGTACAGAAAGTATCCTTATGTCATTTTCAATCAAAAAGACAAACATGGGTCAAACACAAATAGAATACATTTTGATTACTCATAGTGTTTAATACGTCAATCCGAAGTCGAAAAATCATGTATTTTACAGTAGAAACTAAGTATATTTCGCTTGTTAAAAATGATATAAAATCTGGATGATAGATGGTGAATGAGCTAGGAGGGGGGCGCAATTTCGGCACTTGCCCTGGGCGCCATTTAGCTCCGGTACGCCACTGCAAATCACACACTCTCATCCGTCTAAACTTAAAGAAAATAATAGATGTGAAGAGATTACCAATCAACTTGGGTAGCATAAAATGTTATAGAAACTCTCATAGGTAGGTAACATCAAAAATTCTTTCGTTTAAAGGCAAGTACGTAAGTAGACTATAAAAGAGTAAAAGTATGCTCGAGAGGGCGACAATACGGCCTACCTGACATTATAAAGTTTAAAACAATGACTTTTGTTAACAAAAGGTAAAGACGACTCGATCCTTGCGCCTTTGTTCCTTATAATTAAACATTTCTTGCTACAAGAGTACAAACGCTTCTGTATCTAATTAATTTTTAATTACTGTTCATTTCGACTTGCATTCGTTTCACGAGAGATATCAATTTGTTTGACTCAAAATGGAATTTGTGGCTGTTTTTCGGTACCAACTATCACTATTTATACTGCTGTTAAATGCGAATGAAGAGCAAAGCAATTTGCGGCCAGCTTTCGTCGAAGCCTAGAGCTTGGGCTTAAAGTTTCCATTAAGCGCGATTAGGTAATCTTATGTGTCTTATGTATCCTAAAATAAATATATTCCTAATGTAAGGTTGGCTCTTTCTGAATTAAGGGAAACAAGAGGTTATTTTCATTTCGCGAACTATTCATGTTATCGATCGTTGTCCCTGAGATATGCGAAGATAGTTTTATCGGAATGTCCTGCATTGATTGCTGTCGGCGAGAAAACACAGTTGAAATTCGTGTAATGGGGTAATGAAATGTAAACGTTTCCTTATTTGTAGATTGCAAATGCACCAGAAGGTCCCACTGAGTAAACAAGAAGACTAAATTTCAATCTATCGAGGAAGCGCAGCCTAGCAGCAATAGGAGAACACATACAGGGTCGCTATTGGAGATGGAATCAGCTTCCACGCTCAAACCGTTTGAGATAAAGCCATGAAAATTATTTTTTTCTTTTCCGGCATTTTAAATCGCAATATAACTAATAGTGGCGCCAAAGCAAGATTTACTACGGCTCTAGAAGAATCCAAATTCCAAACCGTCCATTTCAGACGAGAGACGAAAAATAGACGGTCAGACGTATGTCTTAACGTATGCCTTCGAAGCTTTCTGATGTAGTAAAACACTTTCCCAAATTCCAACGGGAACGGAAACAGGATTTTATCTTTTACGGTCGAAAAGAGAGTTGCCATCTGTTTCTAACAAGTTGTAGTATATGACAGAATGCAAAAGACAAAGTGAACAGTATTTAAGCTTATTATTACGGTATACACCGATGCCCAAGTATAGATGGCGCAGACAATCACTCCTGGATCTATATCAATTTTCCAAAGCCCACGGAGGATTGTGTATTCTGGGGAATTTCCAAAAATCTTTTAGGAATGATCTCGATATTATTAAAATGGAATCTCTCTCCGCACCAATTCACGAGGAATCAATAAGAATGTAGTGAAAATGATATAAGAAGCACATTCTCCGAAAACGCCGAGAAGGATCCGCGAAGAATCTATGAGGAGCATTGTACGTTTCTAAAGAATACTTGATAAATGTCTAAATAATCTTTGAATAATTTCTGCAAACACTTTAAAGAGTTTACCCATAGCTTCTGAAGCGCCTCAAATTTATTGGCGAAAAATCCATTCGTTTTATAAAGAATCCCTAAATGTCATTAGTTCAAAAACCTTTTAGTGCACTTTCACTTTAAAAAAATAGAAAATGCACTTTTGCGCTCTTGATGTATGTCTGTCTGTCTGTCTGAGTCACAAAGGCTCCGGAACTAGAAACCATAGTGTGTATAACATTCAAGCATAAAGGGATTTTGAATATATGCATGATTGTGGGCTCCCATTCTATAATTAACAACTAGCAACTTCAAAATAATAAGGGCATAAAATTGAGGTACACTCTCTAATCGTTTCAGTAACTTGAAAACCATAAGAACACTAACTTTCTACAACACAAAAAGTACCTAGCACAAGATGAGCCCAAAATTATTCAATTCAATTTTACGGAGGGGCTCGTAAGGAAATGATTTATTACGAACAAAATATCTAGTTACGCAACTTAAAGTTTGTATAGGCTTTGGTATTCCAGTGTGCATTTTGGATAAAGTTAGAGCGTTATAGGATTCATATCAACCTCATCTAAATGCTGCCTTATTCAAAAGTCTTTCGAACAAAGTTTTAAAGATATGAGCGCTTTGGAGAAAAATAAAAAGAGGAAGTTTGTATATAAAAGCCCACAATGCTGTTTTAAAAGGATATTTTCCTATCGTTGGTTTATTATAAGCAGCGGTATAGGCCTGCTAGGTCGAAAAAGTACATACGGTCGATATTTCACCGGCTGAAATTAGTATATTAAAGTACAAGTGTCATTTGACGAAGATTGTCGCACGAGGTAATAAATTATACAAATTATAAATATTGCATTTAGGCGTTGTTAGGTAATTTTAAACTATCATTCAGTGTATGTTGGTAATAGACACAATTCATTTATTTTCACGTTGGTTAACCTGATTCCTGTATTTTCAAACTTCAAACTTTTAATTATTTGGTCATAATTCCATTTTGCGGCAGTTATGATGAATACGGATGCCAAACACGTCTCTTGTACCCCACCAGAGACCCAAGAGATTGCCAATAAAGCGACGTTAAATTTACTGCCTGTAAAATCGAAAGTAAAGTACGAGGAGTACAAAATTTTTGAAAACTGATTGTCCGAGAAGGGAGTTCAAAAAGTAAGCAAGAATGTACTGCTGGCATATTTTACTACGCTAACTAAAAATAAAAAAAGTTCTACCCTTTGGAGTATATATTCAAAATTAATCGGAATTAATACAATCGGTCAAGTTCCTCGTACGTTATTTACACTTTACAGGTTATGTTTAGTTTTGATTTAACGGATACCGTTGACAGCAAAAAAGCGAGGGGTACCAATCCAACAAAATAAAAAAAATAATGCGTTTCTATTTCTTTCAGCATCATTTCTGTCTAGAAACGCACGCAAACTGGGCCAATCAAGTACGGTTTCGGTATTGTTTCCACATCGAAATAGAAAAACTATTCTAAATAATATCATTACGTGAACATAAACAAAAAAAGTAAATGTTTAGATATTAAATGGGGTCAAACTGTACTCGTTCCAAGGTTCGGAGAATACAAAATTTGCTGGACAGAACACCGCAAATAAATGAAGCACTTACTGAATAATCAGTTTACCAACTATTGCAATTTGATGCTAAACGCTTGTTACGGACGGCATAATTAAACATTGAATGAAATCACCAATTAATAGCGTTTGATGAGTTATTTACTTTATAAATTGCTCTGTTTTGTGTTTGATTGTAAATGGCGTCATCATTAGGTTGAGCATTTTATTGCATTGCTATCCTCGGCATATTTTCCTAAATTGGAAATATCGCCTTTTTGCAAAATAACCAGAAATACTAGAGCTTACTCCCTTTTCATTGAAAAATTGGCATTTGTTTATGAGCTTTACGTTCATAAGGAACAGATAGTGAAAATAAAGTGTTGTTTACAAGATTCGTTTGATCCCCAATAGTGTAGAAATGTAGGTATACCTATTTTCATCGGGAAAAGATGCTTTTAATTTGATTGAAAAACGGAAATGGATTCAGTATACTACGATAACTAATGAATATCAAATATGAATATATCCTCAGGCGTCAATCGGATTTAGTAGGATCATAAATTTCAGCACAATAAAACATGATGCGTTTATAAGCCATTTGCAGATGTGTTCAGTAATACATCATTTACATATCGATGTCCAATTTATACTCGTACCTATATAGGTAGGTCATGAAAGGTGGAAGAATGACTGTGACTGCGTTATAACATAAACTCCTAATTTTTTTATTGTAAAGGCGAGGTTCTTTCTTTTTTAGCAAAGGCGTCGAGATTGTACGCTTTAAGTGCGGTATTTAGGTCTGATCTGGCCATTTCTCACACCTTGATTATGTGCTTTTTGTCACATATTTCTTGACATATGAAAAAAACCTCAAGCTCTTTTTCTTCCCCAATTTCCTTTGTGCTATTGCCGTCTCATACAAATTTTGTGCAGTTTCAAATATACGTGATGCCTATAGTTCATGTTGTACG